TAATTATTGATATTCAGTGTCCAGAGAATATTTCTGCAGTGGTTTGGTTCTGATCAGGAGAAAAACCTAAGACTAGTTCGCAAAAGTAGGTTTTGAACATATTTGTGAATAATTAATGAACGATTTGACTGACAGCAATGGTTCTTGAGGCAAAGTTGTGCATTATGAGGAGGTCTATCGAATGATATGCATATTGTGTGGATTTGTGAAACACCACATGATTACTGAGCCAAAAAAGCTCGTTAGCGCCAACTAGTGGCCGTTTTCTTTCAAAATTCTTACAGCCCCTTAAGGCTTTGAGTCGAACATGTCCACCAAGTTTTGTTCTGATCGACCTCCGTTAACCTTGTCCAATAGGTGCCTAAACTTCTTTGGCCAATGGCGGCCATGTTTTTTTAGATACGCGAATGTCCTCATAGACACTTGTGCCCCTTTGGATGAAGACACTGCATACCAATTTTCAAGTCGATCGGACCAACTGTTGCATAGTTATAGTCATTTTTAGTTTTTTTTTGTCTTATAGCGCCACCAAGTGGCAGAACTGCGATTTTTTTTTTATTTGACCAAAGATTGAGCTTGCACACGTGTACCAAGTTTGGTGAAGATATCTCAGTCCGTTCAGGAGTTATAGCCATTTTAGTAAAAATGTTCTCGTCCCTAACAGACTTTTTTGCGTCCCTAAGCGACGGTGAGTTGAAATTTCAACTTTTTTTTGATAATTTTTGATATTTACAGTCCAAAGAACATTTCTGCACTGGTTTGGTTCTATAGCTTGTCTTTGTTGAATAATACAGAACATAAAGAGCTTTAAAAAATAATTGCATATTAAGTCGCAATCGCAATATTGGTAAAAAAAATCGCAATTACATTATTTTCCAAAATCGTTCAGCCCTAAATTTCAGCAGCCATTACTCAAGTCTACTCAGATCCTTCAGAAATCGTTCTATTATGTTAATTTGGTGCTCAAGAAACATTTCTTCTTATTATAAATATTGAAAACGGTTGTGCTGCTTAATAGAATTTTGTAGAAAATATAAATATTTTGTAATATGTCTTTACTGTGACTTTTGATCAATTTTATACTTATTTTATTATATTTTATAATAAAAGTTTGAAAAAAAATTTTTTTTTACTAACCCCAGACTTTTGAATGGACGTGTATCTCAGAGTTCCCCATTTACATAAACTTGGCATGACTCTTCACATTCCATTTTTAAACAAGATTTTAGAGCTCTGGCAGAGGGAAATATGTAAACTTGATATGTTTTTTCTGTATGCCTTCACTAATGTATGAACTAATGCAGTGGTTCTCAAACCTGTCCCGGAGTACCCCCAGCCCTGCACATTTTGTATGTCTCCCTCATCTATCACACCTGATTCAACTCATCAGCTCATTAGTGGAGACTGCAAGACCTGAAGTGGGTGTGTCAGATGGGGAGACATACAAAATGTGCAGTGCTGGGGGTACTTCGTGGAGAGGTTTGAAAACCACTGAACTAATGTATGCTTTCACTACACTTGAAATATAGCACAAGAATCCTCTGCATTCCTCTAAATTTCTCCTTATGTGTTCCAAAGAAGTAAATCATACATGTACAGAAACAACACGATTAAGTAATTATTTTTTACATTTTTCTGTAAATTAACCATTTAAAATGAATTCTGTGGAAGGTGTGATATAATGACAAGTTAGAGGGGAACTAGGTGTGTTGGTGCATTTTTCTAAAGCAATACACCTTTCCACTCCCATTTTAGATCTATCTTCAACAGTAGAATATGTGTGTGTGTGTGTGTGTGTGTGTTTGAATGCAGAGCTTTGTATGGACCTGCACTCCATGTTTAAATGCTGCCTCTAGCTATAGTGTTGTGTCAGATGACTGCCTCGTCATGCTACCCTGCCCTCACCTCTGGAGGTGTGCAATACCTCCCACTAGCATGCCACGTTTCTTGTGTAAGAAATTTTCTGTCACTTTCCCTCTTGTCGCTATTTATGAAACTGTCTTAACATAAAATATAGATAGCAACAAGTCTTTGTATACTCTTTCCTAGTTGCCAGAACTGAATATTTTAATAGTGTAGCAGTACCGATTTATAAAAGGTTTCCAATTTATTTAAACTCTCTTCTTTTCTCATTGGCATTCATTTTCTTGCCCCATATATAGCAAGGCATTATGTGCCCTCTTTGATTACAGATGTCTTAATTTATCAATGATATGTTTTTCAGTAGCTGTCAGTCTTTTCAGAGTCAGTGTTTTCTTTATCGTTCAACTAGTTAATGGCTAGATCCCACTGACGTACCTGAAACAAGTATGAGAACATCTGTCCTTGCTGTAAGCAGTAGACTGTTATAAGTTTAGTGGTGTTTGACTGTGTTGTATCTCTTCTTTCATTTTTCTTTTCAAAGAGATTCCCTCATATTGTAAAATTCAAGTACAGACTTTGCCAACAGGATGTTGAGAATAGGGAGTGACAGTGAATAAAAATTATAAAACACGCCTTTCTGTTTCTTCATGCTATCAGAATGATCCACCTGCAGTTACACGTCAATCTGTGCTGGGCTGACCCTGTTTGCTATTAACAAGCAACCTTGTTGATGCCATTGTGCCAACAGAGGACTTAACATTGAAAGGGTGTTTGATTGGACATCTTCTATTTTTACACAGAGGGTCTCTTGTTAAAGTCTGGTCACTGATCTGTTCAACACGGACGGATACATCCTTTCCTCTTATAGGACCTCTGACATCTGAGCAAGTTAGCTAATCTTAGCTGTAATACACCCTCCACCTTGCATAGACGTTTTGGCTTATAGTTTCCTGCAAGGTTGTAGTAACACCATTCCCTGTGACTATATGTTGAAGAAGTTTAAGAATGACTGAGCAAGGTAGGTGCACTTTTTAGTCTAATGTCACATCTGTATGCATGCACCTTTGCAGCATGACCAAGAAAATGTCTAATGGACGTGCGTTTATATATATATATATATGTATATATATGTATATGTATATACAGTATGTATATGTATGTATATATATTAGGTTTGTCCTCTGTCTTCTATTCATACAAATTTCAAAACTTCACAAACATCAGCTACATTTTGCTTTGGTGTCTGTTGAATAAGACATTGCACAACACTTCTAAGTGGTAACCTCAGTTTGGATGTGAACTTTGGCCATGCTGCATGTGTCTGCCAAAAAAAAAAAAATGACATGTTGTTTTAATTGTAGTTGTAATATGTGAGTTTGTGTTTTTTTGTGTGAGATGGAGGAAATTCCATAACATGTCCTGTATTTCACAATACTCAGACTGGTCCAATCATTGTTTTTACTAGCTTCCCAAGTCTGTGTTCTTCAGAGAACATTGCAGACCTCCCACTGGTCCTTCTTCCTGCCGTTCTTCCACTAGGGGTTTATGAGACCCACCACTCTATCTGCTGCACACATGCATGTCTGCTGCTCCGTCAGCGCTCTGCTGTCTTTAGTATCTAAATGTTTTTTTTAGGCTCATACTGAATGCTGAATTTAGCAATACTGAGTTATATACTTAGTTTTTGATATTACTGATGCTCAAACAGCTTCTCCTTCACACAAAATAAAGTTTGGCATCAGAATCAATATGAATCAATATTAATTTGAATCATTTTGTTTGAGATGGATGCAGATTGTATGCCACTCATTTCTGATCTTTATTTGGGCTTATTGCTTTTGAAGTTGGCCCATCTCCCAGTCTCAGTGCTAATTTAGATTGAGTACAGTTTCATTTTGAAGCTCTTATAAGGTGATTGAGTACCCGACCTTGTTTGGCTATAAGGCTAGCTTTGTCTGGGCTTTTCAATACATGGCAAGTCAAATGGAAAAAAGTAATAAAATTAATAGTTCACCCAAAAGTTATAAAATTCTGTCATCATTTACTTACCCTCATGTTGTTCCAAACCTGTATGACTGACTGACTTTCTTACGTGGAATGCAAAAGGTGTATTTTTCAAGAACATCCTGTCCACTCTTTTACAAATTAATGAAAGTGAATGAGGACTTGTGTTGTCAAGCTCAAAATGACAAAAAAACATCATCAGAAGCATCATAGAAGATGCCAGTGCTCATGTACCAAGTATTTTGAAACTATACAATAGCTTTGTGTGAGAAACAGCCTGAAATTTAATGAGTAAATGATGACAAAATTCTGCTTTTTGAGTTAACTAACATTTCAACTAGGATTTGTCACAAGGTTATTTCTATATGCCCACCATTTGAAGGTTAAGGTTCTGTTTGTTGTTAAATATTAAATGACCTAAATGAATCTCATGTTTTGGTTGAACTACCCGTAAGGTCATGCACACAAGTACAAAATTGCAGCACTAAGGTGCATGACTAAGCTTAGGCCTCACCTATATCAAATCCGAGCCCATGATTTGTTTCACGAACTTCAACTATTTTTTAATTTTTCATAGTGTGTGTTTGTGTATTTGTTTTTGTGAATCATGCATGTGCCATTGTGTCTGACATTTTGTGCTTTGTGTTTTGTCCAGTTTGCAGGTTGCATGGCAAGCTGATTTGATGCATGACATTTGCATGAGTGCATTCAGGCTCTCTGTTGGATTTCAAGCGAAGTGTCTGCGGCAATGTCCCAAACCATGCACGTTAACGGCAATGCCTCAGGTAATACCCCTCCCTTTTAATTAGTCTGATTGTCTAATGATCTGTTCGCTAATGAATCATCAGTGTTTATGCCTATGATTATTCTCAGTTAAAACTGAAGTGTGTAATTTTGGCACCACTAAAGTCACCAAATGGAATTGCAAAAATAATTGCTGTCAAACAGGTTTCCTAAACACTCCTCCCCGTTTTCTAAACAGTCCCACCCCAAACTCACACCATTGGTTGAGCCAATTGTTCTTTGTTGTTTGTTGGACTGGTTGCGATGCTCAAAAAAAAACTAAGATGGAAATAGAGAAAGTTTTTTTTAACATAAAAAGTGTGCAAATGTACACACTTCAGCTTTAACCAAGTGAAGACCCAGGTGAGCATATGAACAGATATATGAACATGAATATATGTATAAACATATGGATATATGAACTACAGATGCTTGTGTGTTTTGAGATGCTAAATATGTAGTATGTTATGTTTTCTGTCATGGTTTCTGTCTATGTATTCTGTTTTCACATTCATTTCATATTTAAAATGTACTGTATGTTTAAAGACTTTTCCGATTATTGGGCAGTGTTTTAGGATACAAGTCTACAATTCTGTTTAAGACCTGCACAGTCCTGCAGGTCTAACACCGTATAGAAGTGTGACTTTCGCAGCATGCAGTGAAATATTGCTTGTCAGCCTTGCCGTGCTCTGAACACACAACCACAACGTCAACACATTCCACTGTGCATTCTTCCTGAAAATAAAGTGAAAGAGCAACAACATAATAAGAAGAACTGTTATGTCAATCACTTTATATTGTGTGATTCAGTAGAAATTAATTGATTTAATGGGTTTTGCTCCATTTTGGCCATGTATCCAGCTTATTGACAAAAGGTCATGTTGATGATACTTTAAATGTCAAGCAGGCATGTTTTTGTTGTAGATTAGAATCATCTTAATGAAACTAACACAGTCAATAGATAGCTTCTTTCTTTATCTTCTTTGGGCGTTTTGGTTGTCTGTGGTTGTTACCTTTGATGTTTGCACAATGAAATTCAGGTCAGCAACAGCCTAAAGCAGATTTTGTGTTGTCTTGGACCCTTTCCATATGGCGGCTCCACAGCAAACTAAGACCAGAGCACTTGGTCTTGAACAAGGCTGCCAAGCTGTGCCATTATGAGGTCTAGAGTTCTAGCTGATTAGCATGTCAACATTGAAGGGCTAATGGACGTGCTAAATTGTTGGACACTAGTATTACGGCCACTTGATTACTGTTGCGTTACAATGTTCGTTGCTATACAAGTGATCTGGTACCTAATTAACATTTAAACATCTTTATAGTTTCTTTGTGTAGTGATTATCGGTAAAGTCAAGCTTTTATTCTGATCTAGAGTGTACAAAGCTTCAAAGCAAATTGCTGTATAAAAAAATAGAAGTACCCTACATGTACCCTGCATGTAATTTACTGCCATTCCTTCTGATATTCTTGGTTCAGTAAGTTACTATTAATATTGGCTGAATTCGCTTTAGTCTGGGATGTATCCCAGGTTTAGTTAATATGAGTGCTTAATACTGAATCGGTTCACTGTTTCTCTGGGTTTCGCTCTGTTATTTCATGGCAGGACTATTCTTAGAGAAGCTTCTCTATCTGTTCCAGCATTGTTGTTGTGCTTGCTTAATGGCTCTGTGTGTGTTTGTTAGTGTGGTCTTGAAAATGACGTGGATTTCTGGGATAATTAAACTGGGAGGCTGACGTGGTTTCCATGGGCCGGGTCAGGAAATACCAGGCCGGAGTGAGAAAAAGGGCCTCTGTTTTCTCTTCTGTGTGTGTGTGTTTGAGAGAAGACTCTGATATGCTCAGACCAGTAGTGCTAGCCTGCTACAGTACTACTTGTCAAACTTCTGTCCCAGTAAGTCACAAAACCGTATTATATTCAGTGCTCTAGGCATTTAAAGGTGGACTGAAGGAATGGCCATTAAGTAAAACAAATTCATTGTTGTAGATACTGAATCACTTAAGTGCATGTCAACTGTCTTTTGCTGTTTTGTATTTTTGTTTTCAGGTTTCAAGCTATTGTGTTAGTAGTAGGGTTGGGTACCGAAACCCAGTACCAATATGGCACCGGTAACTATGTAACCGGTATGTACTAGAACCGAATCAGAACGCAGATTTTGGTGCCTCATTTCGGTGCCATGCCTGAGCGATTGATTGAAATATTTCCTCCGGTTCTCCGAAACCCATATTATCAACAATTTGAGGGTCTTGTACAACATGTTTTTTTTTTTTTTTGTATCCACCAGGAAATATTACACCCCCTGTCCTATTCTATAGCATCAGTGCAGTAGGTAATGTTGTAACTTGCATTGTTAATGTACTGGACTGTTTTAAACAAACTGGCATTGTAAAGATCTGGAGGCCACTGATGTGGGTTTTAGTTTTTGCAGTGCGCATGCCTGAAATGCCTTCTGAAAGACATCGACATGTTCCAGGTGCATGTTTCAAAGATATTTTATATCCATGTTCACAAGTTCCAGCTGGGGCTTACAGGCTTCTTTTGTCATAACATTTGCATATTGAACTGTAATTGGTCATGTTTTCCTTGTATATATTCAACTATTTATAGCTTCAGTGACTGTTGATTCTTGTATGCAGCCATAAAGTTCATAATGATCTTTATATGGTCTTTATTTACTTAATTACTTTTTAGGTAACAATTTCCTACATGTTTTCTTTTGTTTAGGTAAAAATAAATGCACATGTTCACGTTTTCCTGCTTTGAAAGATAACTTGGGTGAAGGTCATTCCTGACATGCTGATCTCTCAAATTTCCATATAGGTTTTGTGGTTAGCAAAACAAGCTTTATGAAGTTTGTTTTTCTTCCCACATCATGGATTTGGGCATCAAAGGCTTGACATTCAAATAGACGTTTATTTTCATTGCTAACATTCAGCAGATCCGTGCCCAAGGTGATCCTGAACCCTGTGAGAGATCCACTGAGATTTCATTGTGTGACATGAGAACTATAAACATTGTCCTCAGAGGTTTGTAATTGGTAATGAATACTCTCATGAGTGTTGTATTGGAATAGAGCGCCAGTGTAATAGGCAGAACCTAAAAGAGGCCAAAAACAAATTCGAACTACAGATTTTAGATAACAGTTTTGTTAAACTTTTGGGTAACACTTTAGTATACTGACCAATTCTCACTATTAACTAGTTGCTTATTAGCATGCATATTACTAGCATATTGGCTGTTTATTAGTACTTATAAAGCATATTTTCGGCATGACCATATTCTACATTCTTACCCAATACCTAAACTTAACAACTACCTTACTAACTATTAATAAGCAGTAATTAGGAGTTTATTGAGGCAAAGGTCATAGTTAATAGATAGTTAATACCGAGAACTGGACCTTAACATAAAGTGTGACCAACGTTTGCAAGGCAGCATGTTGTCTGGTGACAATGTAATGCTGATCGCTCAAATATTTAGCAGCTACTTGTTGACATGCTTTCAGACATTTAGTCAGACAGTTTTTGTTAGACACCATAGATAAGCCATGACCTTTTAAACTCAAAGATTGCGAGGCACACTTGTACTAATGTACCTTTCTGTCCACCTCTTTTAGAATTAGTAGTGCACAGATCAAGCAGGAAAAAGAGCACAGCTGTCTGTGGACATCTTTTTTCAGCTGTTTACATGACACTAATGTTACATTTGGTCAAACATTGTCTTGTGAGATTTTAGCTGAGATAATTCACACCATCCTGTCTGTTGGCAAATGCAAGTGAAAACATATTTAAAAAAAAAAAAGGAAGAAACACCCCTTGTTTCATATTTTAGAAATATTTCCATGTTCAAACCATTTCCCCTCTTCCAAATCAGATACAAATTTTGACCTTTTTAAATGGTCTAGACAGATTGGACAGTCATTAAATCACTCCTAATGTAGACTGAATGTACTTAATATTTTTTTCTTCATATTGACATAATCATTTGTCATTGTTTGAACAATAAAGCTTCCTGTAGATTTCACAGTATTCCATACCACTTATAAACACCATTTACATGGTAAATGGCTCCTTTTGTCCACAAATAACTTTGACAACAGACATGCCAAATGCTCATGTGTCATGTTTGTTTTTTCCACCTACCAGATCTCTTCCTTTTTCTGCTCTCTTACTGGTTGCTGCCATATCCTTACTTTTGTTTTAGCCAATCACATTTTTTCTTAAAAAAAGGTTGCGTCACCCGGCAATGTTCATTTTTTTCCCCCTTGTGTCAAGGACTATAACTTGCAGTCTAAAGCAACCTAGGAGTAGGAAACCTTAGCCTACACCCAATACAGGAGCGGACTACCATCCATTTTAAATTTACACAGGTGGAGTGCGAATATTTGTCTTTATGATATTTTCTGTCTCAGTTTGGTCATTTTTTAATCTTTTACTTGCTGCCAGGTGGTTGCTGAACTTTAGACCAGCCTAGTTCACACCATTCAAAGTGCTTTCCATCATAGAGTAAGTTTGCGTCAGTACGTTGCCCGTAACATAAACTATTTTGATCTGAACATCCTCAAGGCTGTTTTTGTATCTAATGGTGGGTAGTGTAATTCTAGACTGCTAAAAGAGAGTGTGGGTGGATTATTCTTGGAGCTGCTTGTCACACTGCTTTCATTTGTTTCCCTCGTTTCTCGCTTGCCCCTTTAGTGTTGCAGGTTTACACCCCACCCCCCCTCACCAGTGAGGTCAGCACTCAGCTGCCCAAGTGTCTGTTCCTCGTACCAGACAAGCCTGTCTCGCTCTCCATGACATTACTGTTGTGCTCTTGCTATAGTCAGCAAAGCTAGCTGGTGTGTTGAACAAGCTAGCATTTGTTACAGTGCAAATACAGTAAAAGAGGTTTGGTCAGTGAGGTTGAATTGTTGCGCGGTTAAATAAAGAATATTTATGTAACCATATATTGGTGTTTTGAACATAGTTCACATTAAGGAGCAGCAAAAGCTTAAATGAAGCTTGTATTATGTGTCTGCTGAGTTTAGGCTCCTTAATATGACAAAGACATGCCTAGAAAGAGTGCTTAAAAAAGGACCACTGTTTGAAGGGGTTACGAAGTGTTTAAAGAACACTTTGAGAGAGGCAAGACAGAAGAAACAGTGTAAGTGCTGCATGATTGGTGGAGGCATTTAGCCTATCACAGGCTGCGCTGAGCTAGGCTAAGTTTACACCAATAGTGGAATTTTTTTCCCCTTATGGAGTGAAGGTTGAGAAAGTGCTCAGTGAGTGAGGGGAGGCAGCCTGCAGCTTGTTCTAGTTATAAAACTCTATTACGGCTTGTAAGGGAACAGGCGCCGCTTCATGAGGACTGCTGTTTGACTTGGGGTAAGTGACGCTTGAACAATGAGGGATTAGGTTGCCTTAACCTTCTCAAAACCCCTTTCAATTAAGTTTACATAAGGGACACGGAAGGCAGTGTTACATGGTCAAGTAAACTTTCTAGCTTTTTACATATTTCCTTAAAAGGTACAAAGAAAATGTATTTAATGGTTTGTTGATTGTTCTTAATGCACTGTGTCTGCTCTCTAAATCATCAAAAAGTGTGTTGGCTTCCAGAGAGTTAATCTGTCGAACTGATGGGAGGAATTCTCTGTCTGGTGAGGAATTTGGACTGTGATATAAGCTCTGTTGATGGATATTCCTTGGCTTCTAGCTAAAAAGAAACCATTAAAGTTTTTGCCTCTCTGTGAAGCCATTTCTTGTCTGCTAGGTAGTGAGTGAGTGAAATGTTTAAGGTATTGCCAGTTGCATTGAACCAAATACATCTTTGGGTAGAAAGAAATATTTGCTCTCCTTGTTTTCCCTTAACCCCACCCCCAGTTACCCTCCCCTTGCAAATGCTCAGCAAACATATGGAGTTTGTTTTGCCATGAAGTTGTGCAGAATACATCTTTACAATCTGGTGTTGGAAATCGATAGATGGAAATTTCAGTTTCTGTTAGTTAATGGTTTGACTCTTCTTGGAAAAATCTTAATGTATTGTGTAAGTGTAAAGGGGTGTTGTAATGACTGACTCACACTGTTATGATTACTGGGTATGACAGTTGTGATCACACCATTATCACACCTTTGGGCTTACAACCACAGGAGTGACACCTTTTGGTAAGAGACTTACATACTGTATATGTCTTAATGTAACAGGGAATGGCGAACCATTCTGTCAAAAAGATAATTTATTTTTTAGACTCTGTACTCTTTCTATGTAGTAATCAACTTTTTAGACTAGCTGGCTGTTTTAATCAATACATTTTTTGTTGTTATTGTATTGCTTTGGCTTCAATACCACATATTGGTGTATAATATTTGTGTAATATTGCATAAAGGAAATTATCATATTTGGGGATATTTGCATTCACAAAGTTATATGGTGTTACAGAGCTTTAAAAAATTTAACCAATTTTAAGGACCGATTATACATTTTCTTCTCTGACATTTTGGATATTTAAAAAAAATAATTGAATAAATTGTAGAGTGATTAGATAACATATTCAACTAATTTAACTTTTTTTTTTTTTTCAGAAAAAGATCATGATGAGAAGGACCCTTACTGTTTGGAAACCCCATATGGTTATCAGCTAGACCTGGACTTCCTTAAGTATGTGGATGACATCGAGAGGGGCAACACCATCAAGAAGCTAAACATCCAAAGGAAGCCAAAAGTGTCCAGGTCTGTGCCGCCGCCTCAGAGCAGTTGCAGTGGCCAGACTGAGTGGACTTCAACAGACTCCTTGTCCTCTTCTAACAGCGATGAGAGCAAACAGTTGCCCGTCTACTTTATGCCTCAGAACCAGGTAGCCCCCCCTGGCCATACTGCCCACGTCCATGAAGCTCCCCAAGCCTTTGTGAACGTCCCTGAGACCAAGCAGCTGCTGCCTCCACCTTCTCCCCGCCTTCTTCGCCATAATCCCCAGGTGGAGAAAACACTGATGGAGACCCGAAGGCGACTGGAACAGGAGCGGCTCCTGATACAGCCACAAGTCAATGAGCCGCCTCGTCGGCGACTAGCCAGTTTTGGAGGAATGGGCTCTTCCAGTTCCCTGTCCTCTTACAGTGGCTCCTATGGGCCAAGCCAGGTTTCACCCAACTCACATTCTTTTCAGCATAATGGACATCTAGGCAATGGCGAGTACAACCTCTACTTCACATCCTCTATGGGCAGTTCGATCCGCCACAGTCCCTTCAGCTCAGGCATGACCACACCAGTGACCAATGTTAGCCCCCTGCACCTCCAGCACATTCGAGAACAGATGGTAGTGGCTCTAAAGAGACTAAAAGAACTGGAGGAGCAAGTAAAGACCATCCCAATCCTTCAAGTCAAGATCTCAGTCTTGCAAGAAGAAAAAAGGCAACTAGTGTCTCAGATGAAGAACTCCAAGGTAGCGGGGCAAAGTCCAGGTGGAGGCTTCAGGAAGCGCGCCTATAGTGTTGGCAGTGCTGATCAGTATGAGCCACTGACCCAGCTCAGGACAGGCTCTGAACTTCACATTGAGGAGATGGAGAATACTGAGCAGAGCACTCAAAGGCTACAAGAGTTCAGGCAACTGACGACTGAAGTGGAGGCTTTGGAGAGGAACCTGCAGGATAATGGTGAGAAAAGGAAGCACAGCTTACACCAAACAGAGGAAAAAACAAACCAAAACGTCCAGCGGTGGAGGCGTGAGAGCAAGTCCATTGGTGTCGGAGCTGATGAGAACATGAACAATGTGGTTGTATATCGGAGGTCACCTGGGCAAAACAGAGATGTGGCTGTGGGAACAGAGCAGGAGTTGAGGAGCACAGGAGTTGGTGTGACTGAAGCCATGCTAGGTATGAGTAGTGAAGTAGAAGCTGAAATGGAGATGCAGCACCAGACTATCGAAGCCCTGAAAGAAAAGATCTACAGACTGGAGGTTCAACTTAAGGAGACCACCCACCAAATGGAAATGGGAAAGCTAAAGCTTCAGCTTCAAGTGGCTGGATCGAGAAAAAAGGCCGACAAGGGTATGATGGCAAGGCCAGAGATGTACAGCACTTCAGTGGAGGCCAGAGTGTCCACACAGAGCCAAGGTGTGGGCAACCATGTTGAATTTAGCAATGCAAGCACAAATCATGTCCAACAAATGAATTCAGTAGGCATTATTTGCAGACCAGAGACAAGGCATGTTTCGGTGGGTCCGGAGTTGCCAATGGAGCAGTGGGTTGTACAAGAACGTGCTGAGGTTAAGGATCAATGTGTTGGCAGGCAGGTCATGATGTGCAACCAGAGTGTGGGAATGGAATTAAGTGTATGTGAAATGGGGATCAACACTGAATTAACAGCCGAAGGTTTAGGACTTTGCAAACCCAAGGCTGAACAAGCTAAGGAGTTCAGGTCTATTGGATGTGGAGATTGTTCAGTGGATGTAATGGTCAGACCCATCAAGGAGATGGCAACCCAGAGCACAGCAACAGATGAAGTTCACAGAACTGACTTTGGAGTCATGGTCTTACCCATGTGTGCCTCACAGTACACAAACACAGAAATTGAGACAATAGGCAAGTTAACCAATACAGACAAGGTAGTTCTTACTGATTCCTGCACCAGTACACAGCCATACTCAAAAGACAAACAAGTTAGCACTATACCAGTGGAGACTCGTACAATTGCCATTGGCGATGGTCTTGTAAAAGATGTGCCGGCCACATTAAAAACTCGCTCAGTTTCAGTAGGTACTACAGCATCGGAAGAAGGTATGCATGACAAGTCGCCATCTTGCAAAACCAAAGAGACTGGGGTTGGCCTCACAGACATATATGAAAACTTTTTAGTTGGTCAGAAGACAAGGAACATTGCATGTGGCCCTTCTCAGTCTCCTACCCCGATCCAAGTTGAGAGTGTTC